CGGGGGGGGCCCGAGGCTGCCGCAGCTCCACGCCCCAGGCCCAGCCAGCTGTGCAGCCAACAGCTGTTTCGGGCAGGCGGGCGCGCAGAGCACTCAAACAGCACCAACAGCCTCATCCTGCTCCCCGCTCTGGCTGGTCAGGATGGACCCCTTATCGTACCCCTTGAGGCCAATGTGAGCTTCAATATAAAAAGCTTTAACAAACGATGCATTGGCCAGACTCCTACCACCATCGGCAGTTCTACAGGGAGTCTGAAAAGATGCGGCACGATCTAATTCCTTACACACGCTTGCACCAGCACCGAAGCACCAATCCTGCGAGCGTGGGTTCACCCCCCAGCACCAGCTCTGCTGGCCAAAGGTGGCCCCTCATCGATTGCATTGCATCATGAGGAGGCTGCTGCACTTCTTACCTCATCAACAGGGAAATTTCACTCCCTGACAGGAGTCAATGTCCCTGGCACTCCTGCTCCCAGACACTTTAACCCTTTCTGCAGCTGGACATTCTCACCTGCCAGGCCAGATCATTCCTTGGTCACAAGTGACCATTGCTGAGCAGTTACATCTTCACCTGCCATAGTTCGTCTGTGTCCGTGTGCCTGCAGATGAGCTTCTCATCACACAACCTAGCCATCGCCAGTTCTAGGGGCCACTGGACTCCAGTGGGGCAGCTGGCTCCATCCTTCTGGTGCAGCAGCAGGCATGTGGCCCACTGTCCACCTGGCTGGGTGGTGGGTCCTGGCACTGTCGGGGACCCCCATCCCCACCCATGCAGAGGAGGAACATCACAGCACTGGCACGTGTAGCAGATGCTCATGGCTGTCCCCAGTCCCACCACAGCTCTGAGGCTCTTGAGGATGAAGAGCTTGGGAGAGTGTAAATCTGGATGGAGAGGGTGTGAAGCCATGAAGCACTGACCTGCACACCTCAGCTCTGTGCCCAGTTGAGTCCACAACACAGATCCTTGCTGGCCCCATACCTCACCAGGCCTCCTGTCCCTGACTGCCCCTGGGCTCAGGGACCCTGAAGGACAGGGACAGCCCATGTCCTTTGTTCCCCAGTGCCTATGTCCCTGGAGATGTCTTTCTCAGAGCCCTCCAGGTCCTTGTATCCTCCCGTTCCTCCTGTCCCCACACAATCCTTGTGACTGGGGGATGTCCTTGACTCCCTGTCCATGGGAACAGGCCGCATGGGATCTACCAGGTCCACCAGGCCTTTTTGAAGGAGTCAGGTGGGCTCATGGTCACCCAGAGTCTCCTTTTGACCAGGGGCATGGGGAGTTGGAAGAGACCTGCTGCCTTCCCTCTCATCGATTCCATCACAGCCCTTCAACCCATGGCCATGTCCCCATGTCCCTCCCATCCCACAGAAATCCCATCCCACAGACATGTCCCAAAGTCCCACCCCCCCATAGCTATGCACCCCCCATATCTGTCCCACACGTACCCATCACCACATCCTCCCTACACCATTTCCACGTCTCCATCTTCTCTCCCTCCACTCCCATGTCCTCCAGGCCCCCACCATATAGCCACATCCCAGTGTCTCCCTGACCCATAGTGATCCCACCCCACAGCTATGTCTCCGTGTCCCCACATGCCATAGCGATGTGCCCTTGCTCACAGCAATCCCACCCCATAGCTATGACCCATGTAACGGCATCACCACATAGCTGTATACCCATGGCTCCCACCCCATTGCCACGGCCCCATGGCCACCTGCCCCATGGCCATATCCCCATGGCCATTGCCCCACTGCCATACCCCAATGGACCCCGTCCCACTGCCACGGTCTTGCAGGCCCTACCCCATAGCCATAGCCCTGTTGCCCCACAGCCATGGCCCCCTGGCCATGCCCCATAGCCCCAGCCCCATGGTGCTCTGACCCATAGCTGTATTCCCATGGGTCTCTGACCCATCGCCATGCCCCAGTAGCCCCATCCCTACAGCTGTATCCCCAAGGACCATTGCCACGGTCCCCAGCCCACAGCCA